GCAAACTTCAAACGGGCCTGTAGATGTGCTTTCTTGAGCAGGGGGACCTTGCGGGCACAGCAGGATTTCAGTCCTTCACAGCGTAGTGTGTTACCAACTGTTTTTTTGGTGACTATGGTCCCAGCTGCCTTGAGATCATTGACAAGTTCCTCCCGAGTAGTTCTGGGCTGATTCCTCACCGTTCTCATTATCATTGAAACTCCACGAGGTGAGATCTTGCATGGAGCTCCAGACCGAGGGAGATTGGCAGTTAATTTAGAAACAATTCTTTTTGTAATGCATTTTTCTGGATTTTTTTGTTATTGTTGTGTCTCTCACTGTTCACATAAACCTACCACTGAAATTGTAGACTGATCATTTCTTTGTTAGTGGGCAAACTTACAAAATCAGCTGGGGTTCAAATAATTTTTTCCCTGACTGTATTTCATCTGCAGATTGATCATTAAGGGCCAAATATTTTCCTCTTGAAATTCAGTCTCTTCTGGTCATGAATGTAAAATAGATATACATATGGTGCAGCTAATCATGCTTGCCTGTTCCTGTCCCTTTGCAAGCTTCTAGATGTAGCCAGTCTGGACATCCCCTCTGAAGTGGTTCGGGGCTTCTGCATTTACGATGTGGTGTGGATGCGTGGTGCTGGTTCCCTACCAGAGTCCAGCTCTCCCAGACTGCTCCTTAGTGCAACCCTGCACTGGGACTACCCGACTGCGCTGATACGCCACTTCAGGGTGTACTGGCGTCAGCTCAGGGGACCTAATCCCCGAATCCCTCCAGGACATCTGGTTCTGGTGGGACAGGCGTATTCTAATCTGTTTAGGGTAACGGAGTTGGCAGTGCCAGAGCCCCCTGGCCTACTGGAGCTGGTGGTGGAGCCAGTGATCAGGAAGGGCTTCCTGGTCCCTGAGAGAGACTGGGGAAGAAGAAGCCTCAGCTACACAGAGGACTTCACACAGTGACCATATATATATATATAGCGCTTTCTCACAGTGTGTTGCACTGGCCAGAGCGCTTTACAGGGAGATCATACCACCATTCACCCATTCACACACCGATGACGACAGGCTGCCACGCACCGGCGCTAGTCAAGCCACCGGGAGCAATTCTGGGTTCAATGTCATGTTCAGGGGCACTTAGGCACTACTGTCATGTTTTTTGTTTTTTGAGCCAAAAACCAAAACCCAACTCAGTGTTCACTTAATTTCTTTTTCTTTCAACCACATCACATGTTTTTATCAGAGCTATACATCATAAATCATAACAGCTACTGACATTGCCTATGCATATTGAAGATGAAAGAATCTGGAAATTTTATGAAAATAAAATCCATTCTTATATATGATACATATATTATATATGATACATGTGATTATATACATGACTATATTTATGCATGGTGCATTGATACTTATTAATTCAATGAATTCTTACTAGATCACAAATGATAACAATATGTGTATAGTACAAACGTGAGACAAAATTTACTGTACCGAGTATACATTCTATTATAAACCTCAACAAACATTTGGTTCTGTTTATTCAAATCCTTCTATGTCGATTTCCTTAACTTATGCATTATTAACCTTTTTGATATACAAATATAAACTGTTTTATTTATACTGTAAAGTAGAAAACACATTTGGTGTTTTTGATTCAAGGATGAAGGACAGTAAAATGGTCATTTTTGGGGAATAAACAGTAATCACTATACCTTATTGAGGGCATTAAATAATGTGTGAAATATTAAGTGGAGAGACTGCTGAAGGGTCACGCTTAGAAGATACTCTGGCACCATCCATAATACAGTACATTGCAACATTGCGGTTTATTTCAAAATATTCACATCTAGATCCAGTTTATACAATCCAGGTTAGCTTTATTTTATTTTTATTTAAATAAACCCTTGAGGTCAGAGCTGCTTTTTCAAGGGCGCCCTGGCACTCAGTTTAAATCAGTTAAATAATTTTTTCAGTGTCAAAAAGTATAATTAGTTGTGACTCTAAAAAGTAATGAAAACCTCCAGGGTACTGAGGCAGGGTGAATAACTTGTAGTCACTGGAAACAAATTAAACAGCATCTGCACTTGAACCTCATTCTCTCTAACTTCACTATAATGTGTATTACTGTCCAAATACAGATTTATTGCACCGTACTTTTATCCACAACAATGCTAACAGGGGTACTCCAGAAAAGAGGTTTAATAAACTGATGTTAAACCTGAGCTCTGAGTTGTTGATTCCAGAACAGTTATTCTATGTATGATGAAACATTTCCCTCCTGATGGGATTGTTCTCTTCCAGAATGGCAGTGCCCTCATTCATAAAGCATGAGGTGCCACTGAATGAATGGACCATGAATGCTTCCTTTAAACTAGAATAAAGTTTTAACTTTCAAACAATGCATTAGAAGTCTAATAATAATAATAATAATCACCTTTATTTGGCCAAGTATCTTGCCCAAGGACACTTTGACAGGCACCGAAATTCGAACATCTGACCGGGAAACGACTGCTCTACCCACTGAAGTACAGTCACCCCCCCACAGTCTAGTAACACCTTAGTGTTGTGTATTCAATGAATAGTGAACCCTCAGCAGTTTATTCATTCAACTAATTTCAAGAAACCTCAAGTCAGAATAGCTCATATTTGTAAGTAACTGTAAAACGTGGTCTGAAAATTAAAACTACATTTCGAGTTGAATTAATTTTAAATTAAGAAAGCATACATGTATATACTCAAAGAGAAAATGATTAGTTGACTTTACTAATTTCCTCTATGTTGTTTTACAGTGTGCAGTCATACAAAAAAAATTACAAAATCTCTTCCACAATATGATAAAGACAGAGCCGGCCCAAAGCATAAGCGAACTAAGCACCTGCTTAGGTCCCCATTGGCACCGTAGGGCGCTTGAAATGTCCATTGGCCCATTGGCGCCCCCGTAGGGCGCTTGAAATGTCCAACAAGAAAGCCTGTTTATGCTTATGTGCACTGTAATAGTTGTTAAGTGCAATATGAAGCATGCACAGTCTGTCAGGATCATTTTAGATTACAGGGAAAAAATCAACAAAAAGGTAATGTTGCAAAAAAAAGTACATCCCTCTTGAGCAGAGAAAGGGAAAACAAAGTATGACACATAGCAACCTAAAAGTATGTTTATGTGAATAATTAACAGTATTTGACTTCCACAAAAAAACAAAAACTGATGAATTATCTTGTTTAGTTCATGTTGGCATAGAGGGGAAAAAAACAGTGTTGAGTTTCTTACATTTCATAAAACTCCCTATACTGTGTAGAGGAAACCCCCTTCTGCAAACTTATTAACCAGAGGAAAGTGAGCATTTATCATTTGTCCTTATTTGTGCATGGATCCTGCATCAGCACGTTTGTTATGCAGTAAACCAGTCATGTGCTATTCATCTTAGAATAGCAGTCGTCAGGGCAATAAACGCACCAGTGTGACATTCTGCCAAAGCAACCAAAGAACTTTCCAGGATGAAGAGCTGGAATATGCCGTGCTGGCTGAGTCACTCACCTGATCTTAGTTTAACTGAGCTGCATTCCATTTGTTGAGGCCCAGATAAAAGGCAGAGAGTCCATAACAAGCAAGAGCTGAAGATGGCTGCAGCGAAGACCTGGGAAAGATACAAAGCATTCGCTGATGTCTATGGGTCCAAAAAAAGTGTCTAACTGTCCAAATTTGGACTGTACATGTAGCATATGCTGTTTTCCATGGTTCTCAGATATGTTGTCAGAAAAACCAATGAGGTATATTGAAATGTTTATTACTGTACGAGAGAAAAGGCCAGCACATAAAAAAGAAACATCTTTATTAGAGGCTGAAATATACAGAGGTTATTGTTGTAATCAAGCAAGACTGGAATTTTGGATTTGGTTTAGCAGAACATGAATTAAAAATAAAAAACAAATCATGTGATCATTGTGATTGTCAGAGCCATTCCAGCTGGCATAATAGTGGGTGGATCAGAGTTGCTGCTGGGTGATCATCTTCAGCATCTCCAAAGCCATTGGCCCCTGGTCTGAAGGAATCTGGCAAAACAGAAGAAATAAGAATGAACAGTTTTATTTTACATTTCCACTTTAATTCTTTTACTGTTTTTTATAATTTAACTTTATTTCTTATGTTTGTAGACATAGTCTGATCAGTTGCTAAATAAGTGTAACGGAATCAATTTGCACATCCTAGTTCACTCCACTTTGATTGATTCCGTTGATTTTTGGCATTATATCCCCACATTTCTTGCCATTTTTCATAATGCTTTTTATCCTGAATTATTGCTTTGCTCATCATACACGGTTGCTGTAGCAAAACATTGCAGTTTTAGTTGATAACTGTACGTGTTATATTTATGCATTTGTTACACTGAGCTTTACCATGTGCTGGCACCCATTTCCAGCTCAAAATATGCTACATTTGTTCACTTTTGCCTTTTTTTCGCCAGTCCTTGAGAAGTGGGATGAAAAAGATGGAAATATACCCCAAGGGCAAAATTATCTTGGAGATGCACAGCTTTCAGTATGTAGATGGGGCAAAGCTACCATTATTGTAGCTCAGTGAGACAACCACATGCAGCAACCAAAAACTATACTTGCTAGCCAGAAATCCAGAGGCTAATTAGCGTTAGCCAGCAAACAGTTTACAGGATACAGTGATTATACTCTTTACACACTACAAGCAACAATGTACACGAGTGGAAAGTGTGAAACTGACCTTTTAAATCCAGACTAATTCCTTGTGAAGTGTTTACTTAATGGAATCATTATTCCCGACTGAAATGCTAGAGGTGCTATATCTGTATCTACACTGCTGCAGCCAGTGTCTCACCATGTGACCGGCTTTGAGGATCCAATAGAAGGCAAAGTTCTTATATGTCTTGTAGAAAGCCCCAGTAACACCTGGGGAGGTGGGGTCATCCAGGGCAGTCCACCTTAGCTTGTTAAATCCAGGTAGCCCCTCCCACTTCAGCCGCTTCACCCACTGCTCCTGACCTGTAAATAGAGATTCATAAGGAAATAATGCATGTGGATGATTGACACCAAGGTGGCACTGACTCTTGACATACACCCCACTGCTGCTGGAGAATAATATGCTTAAGTTACCCATGGTGTCCACTATAAGGTCTAGCTGTCCATTGTAGACAGTGACATTGACTCCACTGGTCAGCAGCTGATCAACTATGTCCACCACTGGCCTCATGAAGTCACCTGCCATGTTGGTGAACACATCTTCCGCCTGGCCTGGGCATGCAGCAAAGACACGAGAGGGGAAATCATAGATGGAAATTATGATTCAAGACGAGCACAGTACTTAAATACAATACCTCCCCAGATGACATTCTGGGGGATGATGCCAAGTTTCTTCCTGATTGGTCCATTCATCAGCTCGTTCAGCGAGGGGCTATGGAGAGGACGAATGTGGCGACGTATCTGCAGAGCTTGTGGGGAGAGGGGGAAAAAAGTGGACACGACTGTGAACCCCAAAAAACGAAATGACACTGACTTCAAATGCTACAGAAACCCTGTTATGTAATAAACACATTCCTTCCATGTCACCAAACCTGCTGAGCTGTTTTCATGGTGGAACATTTTCTGGCTGGATGCAATCATCGTGTCTTCACAATGTAGGTGGAGTTTTTCATCCGGTTGCTGGGTGAGGATGTTGTAGAAGTTGACTCCATTGGTGTTCTGATATGAAAGCCAAAACAAGTTCAAGACATTAAACATTGCAATCACCGGAAGGCAGCCAGGGTTGTTATGACAATGTAGCATGGAAATCCATATGCACACAATTACTTCCAGAGCACTCTGTCAGTATCGAAATGTAACAATATTTCAGAAATTCTGTAGTAAGAACTGATTTGTTTTACTACAACAATAACCCAAATAATACAGCTATAACCACTTATCCTGTAAAGCCAGGAGATGGTAAGGTTCTCACTTTAACATAAGACTAAGACGAGACTAGAAACTGGTATCACACAGAACACCTTTTAAGGTAAAGTTTTTTTTCTAAAATAAATAATCATGGTCTTGGACATGGTGAGTCAGAGCTCTCTCCTCTCAGACACCAACTGTTACCCTTGATAGTTACTACTACATATCTCCCTGCTGATATTTCAAAACAAATGCCTACCAGGTACACTGTGTATTTTGTGCAGATTGTGGCTGCTTCTCATGTCTCCTGTGACTGTTCCTCAGCCCTCATTTGACTGGGAAGTCATTCTGGTTGAGTGAGGATTGAGGATGCTTCAAGACTCTTATATCAGGTCTGAGGAGTGAGGATCAAGGAGGCTACTGGAGCAGCCTTTAGTGAGGATACACAAGACCATCCTTTGCAGAAGGCTTTTATGGACAGACGCACACCTCTTTATCAGAAATCAGTTGCTGACTGGATGCTTCAAATGAAGGACTGTAGGAAAGGATGTCTCATGTCATTAATAATGAGTTTCCTCGAGTCCTCTCTCCTCATATATTCTTGCTTTTTTTCCTCACATCTTATGTGAGTGGGACTAAGATGAAGAGAAAGATGCAGTGAAGCAGCCTTTGTCTTTTCTTGTTAAAGAGACATTCAGAGCAGCAGAGGAGTGAGTATGACACAACTGTTGTACTGTAGGACTTAACAGTGTGAAATGTACATTATGCTGAAAACCTCCAGTGCTGCGAGCCCTCCAAGTACCAACCTGCTCCACCACAGTCTCAGTCACCGACCACAGTTCAGTGGCTTTCTTAAACTGCTGCTCCTCCATGGCTTTCTTCACTGCCTCAGCTGCACTGTTGACATCCGCCAGGCCATAATCATCCAACAGTGACTACACGGCAAACACACCACAGTCAGATGGCAACTCAACATACCCACTTACTGCCAAAAATTGGATTTTCACCACACATTTTTAAACTGAAGAATTTGCCTCTTGTTTGTTACTTACAGTAGTATAGAGATATGGGCCCCATGTCATGACAGAGTCTGTGGATGAAGCACAAGTCAGTGAGCAGTTTGGCCATTTCTCCACCAAAAAGTTAAAGATAAACCATGATGTATCTTTTAAAGAGGTTCTGATCAGTGTGATATGGGTCTGTCATGGGTTAATTTACATAATAGTTCCATTTTAATTTTCATTTGCTGGAGGAAAGCACACACAGCCTATTCATTATTGTTAGCATTTTAGTAAGATATGTTTGAACTGCTTTGAAGACTATAGACATTTATGGTAAATATATATATTCAAATACCACATATGGAATTGTGTGTTAAAGAAAAAAGTATCAACAAAGTAAAAAGTTTAAAATTTTTGATTCTTCCAAGTAGTCACTGTTTGGTGTTCTCTAAACCAGCATCATGAGGTTTGATTACATCATCATTTCATGTGTTATTTCATAATTTAAGTGTCTTCAGTTTTAATCTACAATGCAAAAAAATACTAGAAACAAATTTGAGGACTGAATGAGAAGGTGTGTCCAAACTTTGGACTGAGGCCTTGTCCTGAATAAAATCATTGCAATTTTGTTCCAAAGTCAAAATGTGTAACATTCCAGAGAGGATGTGTTTGATTAGAAACATTTACAGTGATTGACATAAAGGACTCAGTGATACTGACCCAGTGGGGAAATCCAGGAGTCTCCAAGGGCCACACCGGCAAACTTACATTTCACTGTCCCTTGTGCTATGGCCTGGACAGAGAGACACAAATTAAACGCTTTAAAAATGGGACTTCAGATTGCGAACATATTGTGAATCTGGCTGGTGGTTGACCAGTAGGCCAAAGGCTAGGTCAACTGGCAATCCTGGAGGCAAACAACCAGGAAGCATAAGACGTGTGGACTGAACGCTTAGCATACACCGGCTGCTCTCAGACTCAAAAACCTATGAACTCACCTTGGTGAGTTCCAACGAGATAGCAGCTGCCATTTTCCCTCCATAGGACTCAGAGAAGATGTAAAAGGGGATGTTCTGCACAGACACAAATAACCGTTAGTTATCAGTCTACTGCTTGGTGCTCAGCAGCTATTGAACAGTAGTTTTTTTGCTGCCTGTTACAGCCAAAGATAGTACTATGAAAGCAGTGAGAGTGAAGTAAAAATAAAAATTACACCTGCGCTCCTCAGGATTCAAGCCTTTTTCCTAACTATTTATCATTCCTTTCAAAACAATACACACTGCAAAGCTGTGTTTTATTACAGTTAAGAGAAGCTGTTGAGGAGAGCTAGCTGAGGAGATCAACAAAATAGAGTATGTATGGAAAAACATGGCAACTTAACCCAGAGATTTACTGTTAGCAAAGGCTATGAGGCTGATGCTAGCTGGCTAACGTCAGGTAGCTAGTTATGTTAGCTTACCTGTTAATTACCCCACTCCACTTCCAAGTTGTTCTCATTTCCATCATATGCTGTCTTTTTTTTATTGCACATTCACCTTAGAAATGTTTCTTGTTTACCCCTTTATAGTACACAATATTTTGTTTTGTTGATCTTGCTAATTTTATTGCTCATTTGTTTTCATGTGTACAGGATGGAAGCACTTTTAGCACTTTTCAGGTCCATAGCTGTTTCTCATTGCATGACTGTTTCTCCTACTAAAAATAAAACTAAAATCTAGTGTTAAGAGAACAGGTATTTAATTAGTTTGTAAAAAAGTCTGAAATGTCCAATTCTGTATGTCTGACAGATGAGAAAAGTCTGAAAAAGTCACCAAAACAAGCTTTACCACTTTTCAGCATATATGGACCATTCAGTCTATTAAGTCTTTATATTTTTGGTAAACATCACAGATAATAGATAATTATTGCAACTAAAAAGAAGTTTGCACCATTATGATGATAATCATGCCACAGTGAAACAAACTATACCGTTGTGAGTATCCAGTTAGCATACCTGGAACTCCGGCCTCTCTGTAAAGAAGTGTTTGAGCAGCACCAGCATGTCTGAGGCCACCATGGACACATTGGTAGCATAGCCATCAGGGCTGTCAGTGTAGCTAAAGCCAGTGCCCACAGGGTTGTCTACAAACAACACACTAGCTGCCTGTACCTGAAAGAACCAGCACACACAGTATATCAGCATTCAACATTTTAAGACTTTATTTGGAACACTGATTCTATATACAAGATTTTCCTCAAGCTGTAAAAGGAATAATTCATTACAAGGTAGAAAGTGTGTTTAAAAAAACAACAACTGTTTTCTAATCACTAAACAGCGAGTTGAACAGAAGGCCAATTAATTAAAAATGTTAAATGCTGCAATCTTACCCAGCTTGTCTTTCTGGGCTCTAGGTCCCTGTTCAAAGGTCCAATCTCATCAAAGTTCCCAAAGCCGCTTCCTGATCCTCCTGGTCCACCCTAAAGACACATAAACACACATCCTTATAATGTTCAAATATTAAGAGCAAATGTGCTATTTTAAACAGAAAAAGATATATTTATTTGTATGCAAACTTTTGGCCACCCCTGGGCAAATGTGAAAAGTAGGGAAAAGTAGTTTCTTCCCCTGTGCCATCACACTGATAAACAGTTAATTCATGCTTCTATGACAGGATTCAGCAATCACCCCAGGGCAATAAAGGGTAAATATAACCACTGTATACATCAGCCTGAAAGCTCTTCTGCCATAATGTATATGTACATATATTTATGAATGCTGTCTGTTTTTTCCTCTCGTTTCTATCAAAGGAAAGGTGTACAAGACAGTAGTGCTTGCACTTTGGGGATTTAGCTTTGCCCAGCAGACATGCAGCTTTATCTTGTATTGACCTCTAAAGTTCCCCTTTACTGCCACTTCTAACGACAGTGGAAATTTCAAGCTGGAAAATTCCCCCAGAGCCACAAAACACATATTATACAATGGCTTTCAGTGACAGAGTAGTACTCTTCATGCATGATCATGATTAGAAGCAGATTTGGAGTTCACTAAACATTAACATTCCCCCAATGGATGTTGGGGGAAAACACACTGAGAAATAAAAGCGATACAACAAGCTGTTGAAAATGATCCCAAGTCACTGTGGTTTGCTGTAACAGGGTTAAAAATACAGTAACACTGGTGTGCAGAGGTGGAAGAAGTACTCAGATTGTTTACTTATGTAAAAGTAACAATACCACACTGTAAAAAAATCTCTATTACAAGAAAAGCCTTGCAATCAAATTGTTAAGTAAAAGTACAAAAGTATTACCACAAAACATACTTAAAGTGCCATTGTTGATCACTTTAATGTTGCAGCTGGTAAAAGGGGGAGATTTTAATGAGCTAATAAGCTTATAATTTTAATTCCTACTGTGTAACAAGTGAACTGTCCAACATAAAGCAATAAAGGCTTATGATTATACTGTATTTTGTTGTTAATCTGATTCTGCAAAGTAACTAGTAACTAACGATATAACATGAATGTAGTGAAGTAAAAAGTACAATATTGGCCTTAAGTGCTCAGTTACTTTCCACCACTGCTGGTGTGTGGTCCTTTAGAGTTGAAGCTGTAGAAATCAGTGGACCTGATCATGTCCTACCTGCAGCCACATGACCAGAGGCAGCTCCTCGTATCCGGCAGACCGGCTGTCAGCATAGTAAAGCCACCAGAACATATGGGCCCCCTCTCTCACCTCGACATAGTTCCAGGCTTCTTTGCCTGCCAGGGGACTGGGGAGCCCTGCACAGGAGTCAGTTAAATTCCGCTGTTTAAACCCGGTATTCAGTTACAGTGTTACTTACAAACAGTTCTACTAATGTTGCAAGCAAATAGTGCAGCTGCTGTATAATGAGCAGCATGAACAAAACCTTAGTTTCGTATTGCAGCCAGCTGAATGGAGGCGTGAAGTAGTAATACGAATCCAGTATTAAGGTTGATTTCGCTTGGCTACAAAGTGTTGTTACATTTAAGCAACCGTGCCAGCACTATACGGTTATAGACCAGAAACCGTGGCCTACCTTTACTGACGATAATGGCAAGAAAACACAACAGGCTTGGAGCTGCTTCTGTCAGACCCATTTTGAAGCACTAACGTCTTCGCCATGCACAGATTTTAGGCAGAGGAAATCACATGACCACATCGAAATCAGCTGACCGATGGTGTGTTTATTTCCTTGTTCCCGCAGATGGAAAATTTACTCTTCTAATGTGCAGGTCAGGCAACAAAATCCACAATTAGCCCACAGTCAACCCATGAAAGTACAAATCTCCCAGGAAAAATATATAGTATATAAACATCAATTTTAAACGAAGAAATAAATACACGAATGACGTGCGAATTGAAAGTATCAGAGGAGGGACTTCAGCTGCAGGTAACGGGATTTCCTGGTTATCACGGGGAATACATCTCAACGAGGGAGCACTTTTCGACACATGACCTGTGCACACAATATTTTGTCTGAAGTAAAGAACTAATTTAAATAAATCTCAAATTTTGAGAGTGCACAATGAGACAGAAAGACATTTGCGGGCAATATAAGTCCAGCAAAGAAAATTCACAGTGACTGTGACTTCATTTGTACACATCACAGTAAACTAGTAGGCCAGGCCTATTTATTTTTAAGTTTTATAATGGCGAGAGGGAAGTCAAATTAGGGAAAATCGTGTAATATCCTATTTTCGTGTGTGACCACACAGTCATACCTCGTGTTGTATGAGTTACTGGTTCTTCTTTCCTCTTGGCCTTGGAGGAGACTGATTGAGGCTGTGTGGAATATGATTATGATTGGTGTAAAATTCCTTTTGTAATGAAGGAACTGGGGGGGTCATACCTCCACCCCAAAAGAGAGCAGTATTGTGAGATGACTCCAAAGAGGATAACCGGTCAGATTTAACAAAAAAGCCCAGTAAAACAATTGTCCTTCGAAATAAAGGTCCAACGTTTTAAAACAACAGATTTGTGTAAAAATTGTAATGATCAACTCCTCATATCGGATTATTAATTGTAATGTATTTTTAAAAAAATGCAATTTACATTTTTAAATGTACTAACTTAATTTAGATTGCTACTTCATGTGGCCTGTCACTAGACTATGTGAGCCTTGTACTTTAACCTAACACTACATTTTCACATACTGCATTAAAACATCAGTTGCCCTCAAATTTAGCCTTAGGCCTACCTCAGATACACAACCAGCATCTGCACCACCATCTGGTTCCCACATGGTCCCACCATGGGCAACTTCTCCTTTGTCCTTTAAGAGGTGGAATGAACTTTAGTTTAATAGTGTTGGGAAAAAGATCAGGGGGTATAGGATATAGAGCACTTACTAAGTTTTTAGAGAGCACATGTATAAACAAGCTAATATAATGTGATTTTGTTATTTTGTTATGGTAGTAGGTAGGGGCTGAGTAGTGGAAGCTAGGCTAAGAAAGGAAGTGGATATCTGTGAGCAGCAGTATAGCTTCATGCCCAGAAAGAACACTACTGATGCAATTTTTGCTCTGAGAATGTTAATGGAAAAGTATAGAGATGGTCGGAAGGAGCTGCATTGCGTCTTTGTGGAGTTAGAGAAAGCGTACGACAGAGTGCCGAGAGAGGAGCTATGGTACTGTATGAGGATGTCAGGAGTGGCAGAGAAGTACGTCAGAGTAGTTCAGGATATGTATGAGTGGAGTACGACAGTAGTGAGATGTGCTGTAGGTCAGAGTTCAAGGTGAAGGTGGGGCTACATCAAGGATCGGCTTTGAGTCCCTTCTTGTTTGCTATGGTGATGGACAGGTTGACAGATGAGGTCAGACAGGAATCTCCCTGGACAATGATGTTTGCGGGTGACATTGTGATCTGTAGTGAGAGCAGAGAGCAGGTGGAGGAACACCTGGAAAGCTGGAGGTCTGCTCTGGAAAGAAGAGGAATGAAAGTCAGTCATGGTAAGACAGAATACATGTGTATGAACGAGAGGGAGGGAAGTGGAACAGTGAGGTTACAGGGGGCTGAGGTCAAGAAGGTGCAGGAGTTTAAGTATTTGGGGTCAACAGTCCAGTGTGATGAGGGAGAAAGGTGTCAGGAGTGTTGTGTGACAGAAGAGTGGCAGCAAGAATCAAAGGAAAGGTGTACAAGACAGTAGTGAGACCAGCTATGCTGTATGGGTTAGAGACTGTAGTAGGACCAGGATGGACAGGATTAGGAATGAACACATCAGAGGGACAGCTCAGGTCGGCTGTTTTGGGGACAAGGTCAGATTGAGATGGTTTGGACATGTGCAGAGGAGGGATAGTGGTTATATTGGTAGAAGGATGTTGGAGATGGAGCTGTCAGGCAAGAGGTCAAGAGGAAGGCCAAAGAGGAGATATATAGATGTGCTAAAAGAGGAAATGAAGTTAACTGGGGTGAGAGTAGAGGATGCCGAGGATAGAGTTAGGTGGAAACAGATGATTCGCTGTGGCGACCCCTAAAAGCTGGGGTGGGAACAACCGAAGGAAGAAGAAGAAGAAGTAGCTAGGGCCCGTTTTGATCCACACTCCAGTCTGAAAGGGGGCGGTAATGCACCTAAAGCTGGTTGCCAACCGCCGGTTTTTAAACAACAGTAAACAACTGAAGAAGAAGACGACGACGACGAAGAAGACGTGATCGTGAGAAATGTTAATGTGGTGGTTCAAGTCTTGAAGTGTATAAGTCGTTTAGACAGACGTTTATATTGTGAAAAAAATCTGACAGGAAGTACCGACCTTGGTTTTTGCAGACGAAAAACGAGCAAGCCGAGTTTGGGCCGTGTCTTGGTGTGAGGTTCGGTTTGGTTTGTACCCGTCATGGCAGCTAACAGTAGCAGCTT